TCTGTAGCCAAACGATCGAGCTCCCGTTTCTCCTGCAGAGCAGTCATGCCGTTCAAAAACATGTTTACATTGAAGACCTTGTGCAGTGCTTTTAACCAGTTTGACTTATCGATTGGTGGGGTGACATCGTCCTTCTTACTTTCAGTATCCTTTTCGAGGACTTCTTTTAATTTAGAATTGGCGCATTCTTTTCCTTTCTCCCTTTTCTTTGGAATTTTCTGTCGAGCGTCCTCTTTGTAACTTAGACCCGTTGTTGGCGATAAAGAAAGAGATCCTACAGACAGTCTTTTCCTTTCCAAGGAACTGTTCTTCACCAAATTTATAGATTTTAGACCTTGGCTAGACTGAACTTGATTTGCTAGCTTTCCAGAAACACCCGATCTTTCCTCGCCATCTCTGAGCGACTGTATAGTATCTTGTGTTTGGCTACCTGGTAAACTGAGACTTGAATCTTCTTCTCTTACACTTTCTTGCCTTCTTAGAGTCCGGGTTCGGCGCTGCCGTAACATACCTGCTGTACCTGAAGGAAGCACGGAACTTTGTAGGCTTTTCTTGAGGCCGACTGAACCGACCTTGGCCTCTTCAGATACCTCTTCTTCTGTTGTGTCAGATTTGACATCCCAACCCTCGAAAACTGGAGGGAGACTTTTAAATGATTTCAGAGAACTCGCTGAATTTGAACTTCTCAATGGAAAGTATGGCACTGCAAGACTATTTCTGGGCAGTACATCTTCAGCTACAGGGTAAGCCGTCCTATTAGGTCCATTAAACTTGTTCGCTGGAAAGTCTTGGGCTTTACGGTCGTCATTCTGGATGTGTGAGATATCCTCAGTGATAGTGACAGTTTCATTCCAAGAATTCGTTGCTTGATTTCTCACGGAAGAGGAATTATCAGAGTAACTACGTTTTCTTTGAGCGAGTGGTTGCAATGTTTGCAATTGAGGTGGTGACTGCCCGTACCAAGTCTGCCATCTCAGACGAGTTCCACTGGGTTTTTCGCTTGGTACGGCGATGTTCTGTGCATACTTTGCGTCACTATGGAGACGAATAATATTGTCCACTGACTTCGTCACTTTGGACTTGTTCTGACCACGCAGAGGAATCGTTGAAGTCCACGAAGGTTTTCTATCGCCAGGAATTGGGTCTTTGTTCTTTGATGTTGGACTCATAAGCTCTGTTATCTTTACAGGCTCTGCTGACTTAATACTATTCACCAAAGGTAAATTTCGTAGCCTAGATGGAAAGGAAAGGTGAAAATGAAACCAAAGTTTTAACAGAAATACTTACACTGAAATTATAAAATATTAAGTCTATACTCGAGTTAAGTGGTCCACCATGCCAGAGCTCATCCCGTTTTCCCGTGGCAAAAAACGACTGGGAGTATCACTACTACCCGCTAGATGAGATGAGAAAAGAGGCATTGTGAGAGTAAAGTGTTCAGCCCAAAAACACACCACATTGACCTGGCTAGGTCTCGAACTCGTACAGCCCGACTGGGCCGAGTTCAGCGCGCTAACCATCAGGCCACAGTATCTCCCACAAACTGTAGTTATATGTGTGACTAAACATAACCAAATTATTTCGCTAGGAAATATGTAAAAATTAGTTCTCTGACCGAGGGGAGGGTTGGGCGAATTCGTTAGAACTTGAAGGTGCAGGTCCGTCGTTTGTACTTCCTGGTGAATTCTTGTGCGGTCGTTTGTCAGACTTGAATTCCAACTTCGTGAAGTCCAACTGACATGGTGTGCCCTATTGAACGAAACAAAGGCTGTAGAGTGCAGTTCATCCATTTTAAGTGCGCGAATCGAAACACATGAAAATTTGATCAGGTAATTTCTACATTTCTCATTTTATTTGGTTTTAACTTTTGTGGAAAGAAATAAGAAATGCTCTCATCTGATCAATATCGGTTCCCGAAAATACCTGTTTCACAAAACGCTTTTATGGTTGAAAAAATATTGTTGAAACGTGATGGTTTTGCACAAGGGTTAGGTCATCCACGCATTTTGAACTCACATGACACACTACGAACTTTTGTCCAGATATGAACTATAATACAAATCAAAATGAATATTTTTACGTTTTCTCGCTAATTAGGATCATAGCTGCAATGACTTGGTTAAACTTAATAGGTCATCAGTTTGATTAAGCCCCACACTTGGTAACCCTAGACTTTAAGTTCCCTTTTTATTTGACAACATTTAATCAGTTGACGAAGGCTCAGGTAAACCGGGAGCCAATCCAGTCAAATGTTATCCATTATATTTCTACTGGTTCTAGTCAGTTTTCTTAAGGTGTGACAAAAAGAACTGTCAAAAAAGTATAAAATTCACAAACCAGTGAACGAGGAGTCGAACTTCCTGATTTGTTTATTTGTCCTCCAATGATCCCATTTCTTCTAAAGGTCGAACGTCCCAAGCGTTGTTCTTGTTTGATTTTCAACAATCTCGTTTCTGAGTGCAGTCGCCGTAGCACTCTTTTCTCCTCGAGGTCAATCGACCCAAGTCTTGTTCTTAAGTTTCTCTCCTCCATTTGATTTCGGGATACTGCTAAGAAATCTTGCCACGAAGCTGCCTCAGGACTCCTGTATCCTTCGTATACCGTATCATTCGTCTCAGCTAAGGAGATCATTTTTGTAAATTATCTGGTCACATGTACAATAGGTAAAATTAAACTGAACTGAACGAAGATTTTTCTCCTAATGAGCTAGTTCGCTGCTAATTAGCTTATATAGCAACGTTCTTTTGTTGTAGGTTTTTTTGATTGCTCATCATCTTTGGTGCACCTTTAGGTCAATATTCAAAGACCCAGAATATTAATCTGAGAGAAAACAACGAGATTTAAATGACGTTTCAATCACAGCTGTGTAGGCGTGAGAAATGAACGGAGTTCTTGATGTTCTAAATGTATGGAAAATCGTTCACCAAGAAAATAAGATTACATAAAATTTTGACCGCCAAGAAGAGAACTTTTTACATTTCAGAATAGAATCTTTTAAACAAAGCTTTACTATGTCTTTGTACCTGAATGAAAAGGCTCATTGTAATTTCATCAATTTTCGTTGGAACAAAATTGAATTGATGCGGATGCAATTAATTTCGACTCCTCCCATTGACGGAACGGTTGCGGCATTTTATTCCGGGTATTTTACAGCGCTTTGTAGTAAAGGAGAGTTATTTGGTTTTTAGTAGGGATTGCTGCATTTTGTAATAATCAGCATTCTACGCAATTTTTAGCAAGATCCTGCAGCAAATTGGGATATTATACTTTACTGAGTAGCACAGTCTTATTCCACAAGTAGGATATTTGCGGTTTCCCATCTCTAATTGATGATTTGTCGAGAATCGGGTTTGGTGTTTTAAGGAAGAGAGGGACGTATTACTCGAACGTTTACTACAAGTTAATAACTGAGCAATTCCCACAAAACATTTCAACAGTTAAACCGAGATATTACCGATATATAACGGAAATATCTCGGAAGAACAAAGCTCGATATTCGACTATAATCGTTTGCATTATTTTTGCACAGTATTGTATGTGTTCTGGTTTTTGTGGCAAAGTCATTTATTTCAAGATGTTGTTACAATTTTGAGTAGACCGACGATTATTGCAAAATGCTGCAGTCCTTACTACGAAATGTGCAGCTCAACTTTGATACAAAATGCTGCAATACCCATAACAAAATGCCCCATAACCTACGTCAATAGGAGGAGTTCAAATTAACTATATTTACTTTCATTCTCTTTTGTTTTAGGGAAAATTGATGAAATCACGATTAGCCTTTTTATCTTACACCATGTTTGAGTCAATACTGTAAATCATCACAAATTTACAAATATCAGTCAGGTTTTAGTACAGATTATTAGATTAGTCAGATATAATAGTATTTTAGCTCGGTATATTGGTTTGAATAAGCAAATTTCTGAGGAAAATTGTCAATTTCAAGTGACTCAGTTAAGTATGAAACATAGACAAAAAGAAGAGCTTTGCATAGTTCTCAGTTCACGTGAAAAGGGTTTTAATCATTTACTATTCAATTTATCTTAATGGATCGCAGGAAGTGATGTTTTTACCTTGTACACAGTATCCTGGTCGTGCAACGCTTTTTTTCAAGTGGAATATCATGAAATATTTCAAGAAATATGTGTATTTCTTGGTATGCACATTAGCCTGGTACGCACGAGTGTGCTCATCAAGAAAAGACAAGAGGCAAAAGGGATATGCCTTCATATACCACTCGAATAGTATCTCATACTTATCAAACGGATTTCATATTTGCGTGTGTCTTTTCAGTCATGAATATAGGCTGAGAGTTTCTAAAGAAACTGTGGTGCTGCGTCGGTGGGGGTAACAAGGTAATTTGGTTATATCAACTAAGTTGGAATTGTAAATTGGCCACCGTAACGAATAAAAAAGCTGACGTTTCGAGGGAAGGACGAAGGGCTAACGCTCGAAACGTTAGCATTTTTATTCGTTACGGTGGCCAATTTACAATTTCAACTTAGTTGATATAACCAAATTATCTTTTCAGTCATGGTTCGTTTCTGTCGTTTGTGACGTACCGGAAAATATTCCACGATATATGTGTTTTCCGTGGCATCTCACCTTGGTAAGCACTAGTTTGGGTACCAAGAAACTACAAGGGGCAAGGTAGATACGTCGCAATATACCAGTCGAGATCGCAGAATAGTATCCATACTTGTCAAGTGGATTCTATGTTTCCGTGTGTCTGTTCAGTTGTGGATCGTTTATGACGTCAAAATGAAGTAAGTACAAGTTAGTGGCACACAAGCAGCAGTTGATGAATATTGTCCTCCGCATATTTTCACTTCAAAGCCACGAACGCAGATCTCAAGAACGTTATTGGTGTCAATATCAATTTAAGTTTTATGCACAAAACGAGACTGGATAAGCGAGTGCAGCTGCAAAGCTATAAATTTTCATACGGGACAACATGGATTTGAATAAAACGTGGCAGGACAGAGAGCATGAATCTAATATAATATTATAAATGGATCATTTGTCTTTATTGGTCGGTCATGATTATAACATATTTCACGATAACGCCTGTAGCTCGACGAAGACCTGAAGAATCTCCTGACTTCTTTAGCTCTTTTACTATATCTCATAATTACCAGTGTAATTATTTTACTTCTTCAAATAATTTAGCAGGGTTTACGGTTATGTTTAACGTGCAGTTCGTTTCTGTAGCTAGTCCTGATTACTCTTTCACAAACGATGTAAAAACATGGTTACCGGAATTTGTTTTTTACTACTTAAACTCCTTTTACATTCTTCCTCAGTTGGAATGTAATAGCTTGTTTACGAAGTCCAACTACAGGAAAGATTTTAACTAAAGAAAGAGTATCGAATATGCCTTTCATTGAAGAATGAGACGTGTTTGAGATATGTTCACTTCATGCTCTCTATCATGAATGGAAGATTTGTATTAGTCTTGCTTTGAAACAAGTTAGACAACAAATGAATGGTTGGTATGACAACGTCAGAAGAATTTTAAAACAGTTGACTATATCTAGTGTTCCGTAAGAAATGTTTCGTATCAATATTTTATTTAGATTTTTTCACATAAATTTTCAGATATTCGAAGAAATTTAAAATTTTGTAAAACCTAAAGTTCTGCAGACCTTTTAAGATAATGATCTCGGTATTTTGTTGATTCATAATTATTTTTAACTGCTTCACTCCAAAGTTTCGCCATCCTTGTCTTGATCATTTTTACCGTTAATTTGGTCCAAAGGAACATAACCCTCTTGTTCTTGTTGCCGCTTCCCTTCCACGCTGTGTCGGAGGCCGTAGAAAATGTAAATGGACAGACCTGTAGAGTAGATAGTGCTGATATCAGTTCAACTCTTTGATGATTTCAAAGGAATTTGGTACCGTAGTTAGCTAAGTAAAAGTATGCATGTTATATTTTTTTATCTCAGAAATAACCCGGTCTCCTAGTGCCTAATAATTATTCCTCTTCTTGTAGAACTTTACTATGTAAGGTTGACCTTTAAGCAAAGTGATTCCCTTTTTCCTCAGTGAGGGTTCCAGCGAGTTAGAAAACTTTTTACAAAGAACTAGCTGATATGTCGGACTATAAAATAGATTCGCAGTTGATAAGTACCCAGCAAACGGAGACTAGGATCAGGAATTTAAAAAATGCTTTCAAGTAAATGTCGAATTAACATAAATAACTGAAAAATTCAGTCTTTCTCTCTGCAAAACTTACGCCACTCTCTCAAATTATCGGATGCCAAACTAAATAAACCAATCGCAAATTGCGCGTTTTCCCGCTCTTGGCATCGATTTTTTAATGTACTAACTTTGAACTCTTTTAGCTTCTTGCGAATTTAACTTTTTGCCGTATTCGCTGTTTCGATTTGGTTTTTGTATCAGGGCACCCAATGAAGGAGCACCTCAGCTTCTCACCAGTAATTAGCATGGTAGAGTCTTTTTATGCACGTATTGCATGCCTTTCTTTTATGGCAGAATAAAAAATGCACACACCTATGGCCATCCAAACAGCAAATCTCATCCACGTGGCTGGATTAAGTTCCATCATCAAATAGATATTAATAAACATTGATGACAAAGGGAGGCCGGGGACGAGGGGAACTTTGAAAGGTAATGGCGTTAAACTTTTCGGCTGCATAGACAATATTGCGACTGCAACCACAAAAGCTATGACCAACAACAAGGCTAGAATAACTGCCCATAATTCTCCTTCATACATTGGAATGAGCCCATTGATGAAGAACGCACTAAGACCAAAGAAGTAAAAGAAAAGGAACCATATTATGCATCTTGAAATTTTCCCAGAGCGTTCTGTTGGTTCCTGCAGAGGTTTCTTTAATTCAGAGCTCGACTCGGGCTCCTCTTCAATGCTCTTAACAAAGCCTATAGTGCCAGGTTGATACCGGAGAATCAAAACCGATGTGGAGACGATGGTATATGCCTGCAGGGTCCCTATGGACATCATCTCTACGAGGGCTTGCAGTTCAAAGATCATTCCTAGAATACCTGCAAGAATCCCTGAAAAAAGAGTACCTACAAAAGGGACCTCGGTGCTTTTACTAACACATGCAAAGCACTTGAAAATTAATCCGTCGCTAGCCATGGCATACAGTAAGCGTGGTAAAGGGAAAAGCCCTCCATTTATAGCAGCTGTCATCCCACAAAGAGCACCAGCCGCAATGATGTATTTTGCAAAATCTGCTCCTCGGTGTTCAAAAGCTTTAGGTAAGGCCGCGCCATAATCTAACTTGTTATAAGGCCAGATTAATGTTACCGCCGCAGAAACACCAAAATATGCCAAGAAGCAAACTGTCAGCGCCAGCATAATGGAAAGTGGTATGGCCTTACTAGGGTTCTTCGCTTCTTCGCCGGCAGTCGCAATAACATCGAATCCAACAAAAGCGAAAAAGGCTGTGGCCGAACCGGCTAATACTCCTGTGGGACCGTACGGCATAAAATCCGACCAATACTCTGGTCTGGCTAATGTGATTCCCATGACGATTATAAATAGGATTACGATCATGTTAACGCAAGTGACAACAAAAATGAAGACGGTGGATTTCTTTACACCAAACAGTTGAATAATCATCAAGACAAAAATGATTCCTGCTGATAAAAAATCCGGGTACCCTCCGAGTCCATCAATCCTTATCGGTCCTATATTTTCTAAAACCCAAAGTCGAACTTTGTCATGTATCATAGAATCGAAATACGCACTCCAAGCTCGACCGATAGCGGCAGCCCCGATCATATATTCCATCACAAGATTCCAACCTATGATGAATGCTACAAGCTCGCCAACAGTTACATAACTGTAAATGTACGCTGATCCAGCCTTTGGCACGCGAGCCCCAAATTCAGCGTAACAAAGTCCTGACAAGACGGAGGCAATACCAGCGATAAGAAATGAAATCACCGTTGCGGGCCCGGCTACATCTCGAGCAATTTCACAAGCAATTACATACACACCAGCTCCCAGAGTACAGCCGATGCCGAGAGTGGTAAGATCGAGAAGTGAAAGACATCGAGAGAGTTTTGTCTCCTCCAATTTCTCAAGAGAAATAAACTTCCGCCGTGAAAACTGCCAAAGACATCCCATTGTTCAATCAGGAAAGACAAGGTCCCTACACAGCCTAAAATTTTAAAGACGCAATTGGTGTTCAAGGATTTCCATATTGAAAAAGCATATCAAATTCGATGAATCTTGTAACCCGTAGGCTGATTTTTTAGTGCTCACAACTCTGACGACCAACAAATGCCTTTGGGATTACAAATGCGCCAGGTAAATCAATACATTCTCAGTCTTTGAATTCTCCCTACTCTTTAAGCGCACCACAGCCTGTAAGAAAGTAGCACTTAAATGAAACAATCCTTTAATGAAACTGCTGAGCTATTGTATTTAAATGCCTGTCCTGTTCTGAGGATTTTGGGAGAAACTATATTTTGATAAAAGAGCCACAATCGGTTGACCGGTCATAACAGGTTGTTACAGGTAGATTATACGGATTGTTGGTCTTTGAAGTTTAACATGGTAGTTAGAATGTGGCACGTGTAAATAAAGTAATGTACCTTATGGGTAATGTCAAAAAGAACGAGGTCAATTTTCTCTCTAACGCAACATTGAAATGTGAAACAGAATATTGACATTTACGATTGTTTTCAACTCCTGGTTCATGTGCGCGCAGCTGAGTCAATGATCAAGCACGTGTGGACGATTCGCGTTATAGTTTGGATAGTGTTGCACATATCGTATACATCAATGTTCTTTTTATTTTTAGGAGTGCGTTTTTTGTAGAAAAAGGATGTACGTAAGCTTACTAAGGCGTGTGAGCTTAATTGGGTGACAGTAACTGTCTCTTTCATAAGCTCTGAACAATTTTTTGGCGTTCAAAACTACTCAGTAAGGCAAGTATGAAATTATGGAAGTGAAATTCAGTCGTCGAATCTGATTAAGAAAAAATCTGTAAACAAACTCTTTATTGCGTATTTAGCCTATGGGACCACTCCTTTGATTTTTCACGCAACCTTGCCCGCGAGGATTCTCTTTCGTACGCCATCATCAAGTCCCGCTGTCGACCATTTTCTCTGAGGGAACTCGCCTTCAATTTCTTCTATCCTCAAAGACGTTTTTGATAAACAGGTTTTCGGTTTTTTGAGTGTGATCATTTTTCAGTCGTATACTGTCTTTTTATGAATCGTGCTCGGGCAAAAGTCACCGTTAATCATGAACTGTCACGTTCCGTAGGATGTCTATATGAATTGAGAAAGTTTACCGCTGGTCCAATCAACATGATAAGCAAATTTTACAGTTCATACACCGAATTAGCCTGCAGTGCCGGCGTATTTTGGGCGCACGAGTGCACATTTTCGTATTAGGCCGCCATCTTAGATTTGGTAACTGTGGAGGATTGGGGCGAGGAAATATTTGCCGAGGGAGTAGGTGTTAAGTGGAAAAATGGGCAACGGGGGAGAGGGAGGGGAAGGAAAAAATACGCCTGCCCGCAAAGCCTGTGATTTCGCAAAACGCCCCCTAATTAGCAGCGCTTGACCGCCTTTCCGGAAATGTGCAAGCAGCCAATGAACATCGATTTTTGCTTTTACCGAATGGAAGCCAAAAATTTACTTCCGACAAAAACATTGACAAACGTGTGTTTGTCAACTTCGTGCGAAACAGAATCGATCGAGCGAGCGAGTATGTGAGTGAAGTTATGTCGGAAAGACGTCCTAACGACAGCTGTAGGATTTGCAAAAGCTCCTTTAAAGTGAAATTTGGAAATATTCCCGGCAAACAAGTGTACTCGTCCTCGGAAAACGTTTTTAGACCATCGCAGAGGAAGGACAGCCTTGGAATTATTTTAGCAGAGGTTTGTAGTCGTGTCGGATTAGTATTGTTGCACGATCCTGCAACATATGCTGATCGCGTTTGCAACCCGTGTGGTCGAAAAATTCGCAGTCTTGGCCAGTTGTTCGAGCTTGTCAAAGTGGGCACGACTCCAATGGTAAACTCCGTATCTAAAAGCTCAAAACGCACACTGGCAACTCCCGAGAAAGCGAGCCCTTCATGGAGAAAATCAAAACTATTTGCCGTTTTCAATATCTTGTAAACTAGCACCAGCAAGGGATGTCGCCGTCAAACCCATTAAAGATGCTTCCGCCAGCTGATCTTGCACGATGCTTTTGAGCGGACAGACAACAATCACACACGCAGCTTTCAACCATAATATTTGCTTCACGCGGATCAACAACTGGAAGATGAGGCTTTTACCAAGGCCGTCGGAAGAACTGCTAGTAAATCCCTTCCATGAACAAGAGAAGAAATGGCTTTCTTTTGTTCCGGGCGTAATAAAAGCGACATACCCAGCTCAGAGAGAAACAAAAGCGGTTCTGCGAGAGCGGCATCATAGCTTAGCGTATAGGCCATTTTCTCTCCAAATCACTTCCGCTCCTAATCGCGGAACGACTGGAAAAAAACTACTTTAGATGACAGGCATCAATCCAGTTTCAAACTACCGCACCAATCAGAGGCCCCGTCCATCTGGTGTACGGGTTTTGCGAAATCACAGGCTTTGCTGGCAGGCGTATCTTTTCCTTCCCCTCCCTCTCCCCCGTTGCCCATTTTTCCACTCAACACCTACTCCCTCGGCAAATATTTCCTCGCCCCAATCCTCCACAGTTACCAAATCTAAGATGGCGGCCTAATACGAAAATGTGCACTCGTGCGCCCAAAATACGCCGGCACTGCAGGCTAACACCGAATGCAAATATGGCGTCCAATTTGAGTTTCCATTGTTCTGGACTCACTAGCCTCCCATACATGTAATAATCCTTTTGTGTTTCCACGTGAAGACGAGGCTAGTGAGTCCAGAACAATGCCAATTCAAATTGGACGCCATATTTGCATTCGGTGTGTAACCTAAACAGTACGAGGACTGAGCCATGGACTCAACTTGATCAACCCACAGAGAAACCTGTCTCAAGCGGATCCCATATGAAGCGGACACCTTTACAACGTGACTGCAGGTCCCATTAAAAAACAAGGTCTATGTAGTTTCTTTAGCATTTTGTGGTATCCACTGATATCTTCGCACTAAAAGCTATAAATAGACAACCTCTCGCTTTGGATACACCTCATTCCAAACATTTTTAAATGTTTCTACATTGACATCGTTACAAGTACACCATCAGTAAACCCTTGCACTCACCTACAGTCATCCAAACGGCAAATCTAATCCAGGTCAAGTAGTTAAGCTTCAGAATCAGAAAAACGTTGATGAAGATCGAAAACAGCGGTACGGCTGGAACACATGGTACTTTAAATGGCAGGGGCGTCTTGTTCTGGGGCTGTCGCACAAGTAGCACGATGAAAGTGACTAGGAGGATCCCTAACAAGCATGCCATGAAGATGGCCCATGCTTGTCCATTCAAAATAGCATCGTCTCCCCAGATGAGAAGTATGCTTATAAAGAAGTAGATCACCACATTGAAATAGATTCCAATGGCAGCAAGTCGTGCAGTTTGCAAAGTCGGACCATCAGTTTCTTGTGTCAATCTAGTGTCTTCCCTTGGTACCTCGTCATCTGAAGTTTCTTCGTTAGTTGAGAAAATCTTTTCCCCTCCTTTGACGATTCCCACACTACCTGGTTGATAACGAAGCAACAACACGCACAGGGCCACTATTGTGTATGCTAACAGAGTACCAATGGACATCATTTCGACTAGGGCTTCAAGGTCGAATATGAGGGCCAGGAACGCCGCAAGGGCCCCAGACAGGACGGTGGCGATGACTGGAATCTCCGTCTTTGGATTAACCTTGGCCAAAAATCTTTAAAAAAAATGTAAGAATACCAATAATCTTAAATAAACGCAAACATTGTGTTCGAGCAAAAGGCAAATTATTTCTGTCATGTACCATTACGGAAGCGAATTCATCAGCGGAAAACACGGCTGCATTAAAAAAGACTGATTTCACATTCCAAGACCTTCACTATTTCTCTGCATTGCAGTGTACTGCAACAATGTATAATCACTTATTACAAAATATGTATCTGTATACCCACAAAAATACACCAAAGTTAGCCTTAAAAAATAACGGAAACTTAACGACGAGGAAGGCTTGCTACAGGCTGAAAATGACGTTATCTTACTTGAAAATAAGGCCATCGCTTGCCATGGCGTACAGCATTCTGGGTAAAGGGAATAGGCCTCCAATCAAAGATGCAGTCAATCCACAGAGGGCTCCCACGGCTATGATATATTTTGCCCACGGAGCTCCTCGCATCGCGAACACCTCTGGCAGAGCACCGCGCTCAGCTAACTGGTTATAGGGCACCATAAGAGTCAGCACGGCAGAGACCCCAAAATAGGCCACGAAACAAATACCTTCGAAAGAAAAAAAACATACATATAAGTAAAGTTAGTCCAAAATAACATAAACAATTGGACCGTACTGACAGAAAATCTCAAAGGTAAAACTTTGGGTGGGTGAAGCGAAAAGGATTTTATTTCTCTATGGCCATATAAATTAATGATTGTGACTCAGCACGCCAAGTTTGACATGGCTGATTATAGCGGGGCTCCCACGCGCACGAAGCGCGCGTGGGGCAGAGCCCCATACCCATGGAATATGGTCAACCTCTTTTCGTTTGGTTGTCACGTGACTGACCGAGCGTAAGTTCGTTCGTACGTACGTACGTAGGTGCCCTCTGTCATGTATGCTATCACTCAAGTACTATATGATCAAATTTGAAAAGATGGCGTCCACGCGGCCGACCCTCAAAATTTTCAGGTCGGATTTTTCGTTCATTTGCGATCGAGTTAGATCTTGTGGAACTCAGAATGATGTAAAGTAACAATGCTATAGAATACTCTGCTTGGAAAAGAATGGATATCAAGCAAGGTCTTAAAGGTGACAGAAAAAGCTCTCAAGTCAACGACACTACGATTCTCTAAGGCGATGCGAATTATGGACGTAAAGTGAAAACCGAACTTTCGGACTTCAAGCAGGGCCTAGCGACAATTTGAAGATTCGATGATCCGGTAAATATTATGTTTGAGTAACAATGTGTTCAAAAAGTATTGTTTAATGGAAGATTTTGCGTCAAATTGAAGTTTTTTCAGAATTTTCAGCATAACGCTGCGCAATTACTGGCCTTGAAGGCAAGTAAACAACGATCTAAGCAGGGAGATGACAAAACCCGGAGCCCTACTCCATGAGTACCCTATGGAGTGCCTGGATGGAGTACCCCTAAAAATCATGTATTAGTCAAATAAAATACTTTATGAACATGGTGAATCGTTTAGATGTACATATCCTGATAAATTTTGAGCTTGTCAGCTCTCCGATTGTCGCAGTTCGATGTAGTACACGAATTGACCGCCATCTTGAAATTAACATTAAACTGCTGACCACTTCCAACGGAAAGCTTTAATGTTGCTAGCATCCATGAAAGTTATCGTTAATAGGCCGACTACCATCTATTTTCATATGATCTTCAAGAGGCCAAAAGGAGGGACAACCTTCATTCTGCAACGGGTTTTACGTCTTCCAAAACACGTGTTTATGTATGGCGTCTGTAAGAACTGTGGCGCTCCATCTAGTAACACATGGCCTCATGGGTTTCTTAAATGTTCGAAACGATGAGGATACAAGCTTACATTTGTAGGTTGAGACTTAAAAAGGTAATCCCTATCTTTAAACTGAGCTTCTCTTCACCCATCCATTTGTAGCTTAATAAAATTGAGTTATGTAAACAAACCAAAAAAAAAGTGACGGGTCGGAAAATAAATCCGACTGGGATTGTTGATCTGGGAAATGCAGTAAGCTTGGTTTTGT